GTCGTGAACCCTGGCGAGCATTTTGTGCTGGAGTTGGCGGGCTCATCGTTAGCTGAACACCATCTGCAAACAGATGCTTATTATTTCTTGTCACATAACTATTGCTGAATGATCATTTCTCGACACCTGCAACCAAATCAAACGATTTCGGAAAATCCTTAAGGATTTTAACTTCTTGGGCATGGCTCGTTCTATGAGGGACAAATGAGAACTGATGAGTCACTAGGCCCATTCATAATTGGCACTTTTCTATCCAACACAGAAGAATGAACACTACCAGACATGGCGCATAAAGTGATGATGCAATTTTGGTTGCAATTACCAGCTACTTCTTTTCTCAAAAATCCACGCCAGATCATTAATACGAAATTTATTACATATGAAATTGCTAAAATGCTTAAGCCAACTTAGCAGTAATAATACGTCGTCTTATGCACATCCTAGTTGTGCCACCCAGTACCGGTTCAGCCACTACATTTTCAAATTCCATCTGCCCACAGAGCCGAAACGGCCCGTGGGATCTTTTTCTTATGCAGAAGCAACTTTCTTTTTTGTTCTGTTTGTACTGGTTTAATATCCTGCGCGTAGAAGTAGTCTTCTGTATTTCAGGTACATTGATTCTTTCGCCTTGCATGTTATGCGTTTTTGCTTATATGCAAATGCAAAAACGCATTCTGTAACGACCCCCGTGTGTGTATGTATGTGTGTGCGCCTGTCCAGATATTTCAACTTGGCACAAAAGTAAGCTCCGGCGCCAAAATTTTGCCAGTGGATTCCCTTGGTAAGTGCCATCCCTGGACCGCGGTACCAACCCTCACGCAAGTCTGGGCCCCGCGTACGAAAGGGTGAAGGTTTTGGCGGGAAAGCCGCTAACTCGGGAACCAGAAAAGCTAGAAAACTGAAATTTTGAGGTTATGCCCCCTGTGCACACAAAACTCAAAGACTTCAAATTCGGCCCCAGCTGTGCGTGGCACCAGCGTATGACTCCGTGAGGGGTCCTGGTGCGAAAATCATTAGCTCGGGAATATTCCCAGCAAACGTACAACTTAAAATCATCGAACTCAGGCCCCAGACATGCGCTCTTCTCACTACGGCTCCGTAAAATTTTTTGGCGAGAAATTGGCTAGCTCAGGAACCAGGACAGCTAGGAGGCCAAAATTTCAAGGAATGTTCCTAGCACATGTGCAACAAAAATTTATCAGATTCAGCCCCTAGGCATGCGTGGCTCTCACGTACGGCTCCGTAAAATTTTTTGGCGGAAAAATGGTTAACTCGAGAAATAGGAAAGCTGGAGGCTGAATTTTTAAGGATATGTTTCCAGCCCAACTAAAGTTAACGATATCCAATTCAGCTCCCATATACGTGTGTTTCTCATATACGGGCTCATGAAGTCTTCTGGCAGGAAAATTGCTAACTCAAGGAACTGGAGAGCTGAAATTTTAACAGAATGTTCCCTGTCCAAGTATCGTGTAGACAATTCAGTCTTCAAACTTCGAGGGCCAGTATGTCACAAATCTTAGCTACTAGTCTACCAAGCGATCTCATTACAGTACGAAATATTGCAAAAACGCATGATCGCACGGGGCCGCCCGGTGCGCATCGCCAATGATTTTTAGAGTTTATGTTGCTTATCACCTGCGCATAAGGAGTTCATAATGTGTAACGAGAAATAATTAAATTACTGCAATTACATCAGCTGCAGTTCGCAGTCAAAATCTATATCTATAATGTTCGGTAAAAATTTTTGAAAATACTTAAATAGGCCTCATACTGAATACTGAAATAATAAAGATTACGAAACAGCAACTGGTGAAAACCACATACTTTTTCCTTTGCACATATCCAGGATGGAAAGCCGCGTTTCCACCGGTTGTTGTACCCAATTATACATTCGTCTAAACGTTTCCCTTCCTGATTTCAATTTGTTCCACGGTTTCGGATTTCTCAGTAAATCAGAAAGCGTCCCTTGACTCCTAAAAAAAATTAGTATCCACTCATAAAATCAGTACTAGAAAATACGCTGAAATAACTTCAAAAAGCACAAACTGCACTCTTCATTACAAACAAATTTTGTTCTGCTTTCGTCAATAATCACGAATTTCCCAGCATCAAGCATTATCATAAAGCACTAGGCAGTAAGACTAATTATGCGTTTTACGCTGTGTAATAGCAGTAAAAACGCATATTGTCACGGGGTTGTCTGTATGTGTCTGCGTGTATGTGTATTTATGCATATGTGCGTGTGCGCGCACACAGCAACTTGTCCGCAACTTTCAAATCGGGAACCACAAAAGCTAAGAAGCTGAAAATTTAGAGGAACTCCCCACCCAAGTGCGACTCCGCAAATTCAAATACAGCCCTCCCGTGTCCAGGAGTAACACGCACACCCCCGTGAAAGTTTTGGCAGATAAAATTATAATTACAGGAACTACGGAAGCTAGAAGACTGAAATTTTGTGGGCATATCCCTTGCCCAAATGAGATCCAGCAAATTTAAATTCAGCCTTCTCCTGTCCGCGGGTAATATGAATGGCCCTGTGGAAATTTTAGCAGGTAAATTATTATTTCGTGAATCACGGAATCTAGGAAACTGAAATTTTAACGACCCTCTGTCCACGTACGACCTTGCAAATTCAAGTCCAGCATTTTCGCGCTCTCGGGTATCACTTACGACCCCGTGAAAGTTTTGGAGGGGAAATTATTATTTCGGGGACCATAAAAGCCAAAAAGTTGCAGTTTTGCGGTAGTGCGCCCTGCCTACATATAACTCCGCAAATTAAAATTCAGCCCTCACGCGCCTCCAGGTATCACTTACGGCCTCGTGAAAGTTCAGGCGGGAAAAGTGTCTCGCGAACTGCTGAAGCTAGGAAGCTGAAATTTTAGGGTGGCATCCCCTGCCCGCGTGCAACCTCACAAATTTTCAACATGGAAATTATGGCGAGAAAAACCATTATCTCCGGAACCGGAAGAGTTTCAGGTGAATATTTCTTGGTTAAGCAGGGGGTTCACAAACTTGAATTTAGCTCCTAAGTATGCCCAGCCCTCACGTACGAAAACGTGAAAATTTTGTTGCAAAGATCATTCGACGGCCAGAAAATTAGGAGATTGAAATTTTGGAAGGATATTCACCCTTCGAGGATTAACGTTCCTTTTGCACAGACTAAAGTTAAAGTACAAAGCAGTGAAAATCATTAACAGGCAATCGTTCGTGGTGGGCGGAATTGCACAAAACGGATGTCGTACCGGCTATTCTGGTGGGCGCGGTGCTATTCATTTTTATGATAATAACGAAAGAAGCAATGCAGTGTAGCGTACAGTTGTACAAAAGTAGAACTCACCGACAGAGTATTCGTTCAGCAAAGATAGCTTGAGGTATAGAGTGCTGCTTGAGTTCCCAAGCAATACGTTTACACAGCTCTGTCGTATCAATGTAAATGTCGTCTTCTATCTCAGCATTCAACGGATCACTCGTATCCTTTGTGGAATAAGTCGTACGCGGCTTACCTTTAAAGAAAAGCAAAAGTCAAAATTAGTGATAGATATCAAAAATAGTGGCCATTTTTCTAAAAAAGGTTTGGCTGGCCAAATTCTCGCCCGCGCCAAAGTGCCTCATTAGAGGGGCTCAATTTTGAACTCCTGGCCAAACTTTCATACAATTATGCACATTAAATGCAACTCATTCAAACCATATTTTTGCTGTTTTAATAAAAATATTGGCTACCGAATATCAACCCCGAAATTTCCAGTCTAGCCTTCTGCTAACATGCGACTTTCCAGCTAAGGTACAACATTTTGGAATCAAGATTCAACAACTCGTGCTAGGAGAGGATTCTCAGTCATGAAATACGCCAGCTTTCAAATTTCTGGAAGAGGTAATGCTATTTATCCAGGAGATTAATCGTACGCCTTGTACGAGTTGAATTCCCCGGGTAATATAAATAACAGTTAGTTCCGTTCCCTCGGATAGTACCACTGATATTCCACTCTGAGATCCCGCACAATGTTGCGAGTTACGAGTCCTCGAATGAAAATGCAAACTGCGAACAGCAAGACCTCTCAAACAGTGATGGGAATAGTGTTCTTGAACTAGGCAGAATTTGTGTGTCACGGACATTCAGTGACAGCAAGATTATCAAAAAT